CCTCTTGGGTAATAAGAAACCTCTAAGGACCAAGATTTTGATCTCATCAAGTCTATGCACAATAGGCACAGAAAAGCTACAAAAGGAAACAGGATGCTATTAAGAAGGAGAAACTGATGTTTTGCCATTTTAAAAAATGCCCATTACAATTCACCCCTTTGGCTGTTCAGCATGCAAAAATGTATATTTTTGAAAATATTCCTAGCATAATCCCTCATAAAATGAGAAATTCTTTTTCTTTCCCCAGAGGGAGATAATGCAGTTTCATTACTTACTATAACAAAACTTAAGTATTTTTATATATGCTTTTGTTCTTAGATTAAGTCCCTAGAAGCAAAGCCTGATTGGGCATCTTATACAAATGATTGGGGAGGCATCTTAGCTGAGGGGGGAGAGGGAAGACAGGCTATGGCAAGTGGAAATAGTTAAGTCATGATCTGGTCTCAGGTAAAGATTAGTTTCTACCTAAAGTAGAAGTTTCTACCTAAAGATTAGTTTCTACCTAAAACTGCATGGGACACAGGAATGAGCACATGATTCAGAAAAGGCATGATCTACATCAAGGCCCCAAATCAACTATCATCTCCACTGTGAATTTGTGGTTTGAGAACATTAGCCTTGCTTCCTCTGTTTCTATGGAGATCTGCTAAAAATTAAAGAAATAAAAGAAACCAACTCATTGCCATCCTGTCAATTCTGACTCAGAATGACAGGGTAGAATGCCATCAAGACGATCCCAACTCAAACCATACAGAGTAGAACTGCCCCTATGGGTTTCCAAGGCAGTAACCCTTTAGAGGAGCTGCTGGCCTTGCAGTTAGCAGCCCAGCATGTAACCTACTATGCCATGAAGGCTCCGTTACAGGGTTTTCTAGGGCTTCCAAATTCATATGCCCTCTTTAACTGAGCTAAACTTTCTCATTAACATATTTCCAGTCAGTGGGTGAAGGGAGATAGTTGGACAGTGTAAGACACGACAAAATAGTAATTTATAAATTATCAAGGGTTCATGAGGGGCCGGGGAGTGGGGAGGGGGGCGCGAAATGAGGAGCTGATAACAAGGACTCAAGTAGAATGAAAATGTTTTGAGAATGATGGCAACTAATGTACAAATGTGCTTGACACATGGATGGATGGATGGATTGTGATAAGAGTTGTACGAGCCCCCAATAAAATGATAAAAAAAAAACAGAAAAAGACAAACATATTTCCAGTGATAGAAGAAAAACCCCACATAATTGCCAAATAAAAGTAAATTGGTCTTTTCTAGTTTTCTTAAAAAAATAATTTTATTGGGGACTCTTACAACAATCCATTGTGTCAAGCACATTTGTACATATGTTGCCATCATCCTTTTCAAAACATTTCCTTTCTACTTGAGCACTTGGTATCAGCTCATTTTTTTCCTCCCTCCCTCCCCAACCCTCCCGTCATGAAACTTGATGAGTATAAATTATTTTCACATTTCTGTTGTCTCCTAGGGTGTGTGTGTGTGGGAGGGAGGGACATCATACGATTGGGATTGGCTCCCACTTTCTCCCTCCACCTGGTCTTTTCCAGTTTTATGTGGTCTCTTTAACCCCAAGGAAGCCCTGGTAGGAGGAGAGGTTTGGCTATGAACATGGTGAGCAGTTAGAAACCACCAACAGCTCCTCAGGAAAATGAGGCTTTCTACTTCTGTAATTAGTCTCGCAAACCCACAGAGCCAGAGTTGGCATCGACTTGAGAGCATTCAGGTTTTCTTTAACTTCCACGATCAGCAGTCCAAGCCTAGCAGCCCTCCGTGGGAGAAAGATGATGTTGTCTACTGTTGTACAGATTTACCGACGGAGAAACCCTACACAGCAGTTCTAGTCTGCCCCGTGGAATAATTACAAAACCTGAACTGACTCGATGGTAGTGTTTGGTCTTTGTTATGGGTAAAGGTCAACCCCTCTTAAAATTGTTTTCAAGGGTTTTCCTTTCCCCTTCATCTTTGCAAGATGTCTTCTGAATGCAAAGGGAAGGGCCTTTCATCAGCAAGCTGTGACATATAGCTGAGATGTAGTTGAGCCTATGCCTTAGCGCTCTACATAGCTAAGTTGATCTTAGCTCTCTACATAGCTACAGTTGATCAGTTAGTTTAGCTGATGACTTAATTTCTCAGCACTCAGCCCAGTGGTCTTCAACTAACTTGATCCCACTTTGGCTTTCACTGTTAATGGAAGTTCCTTTGCCCTCCATCTAGTTTCTAGGTAGGTTGTCTACCTCTACCTTACAGCTACTGCTGTAAATCTACTCCCAGGTGTCCATCGTATGGTCAATTTCATTTTCTATTAATTTTAAAGGAAATTCTACATGTTGTGTGAGAAATCAAAATAGGCTTTCATTTTTTGGATAGGTTTTCATTTCTGCTCTGCTTGAGTATATCATGTGCTCATAGGGGTACTTTGCAAGGGAGTTTTTCTCTCAAGGTTTTGTGTAGGAGAGGCACTTATGCCTGACTTCCTTCTCAACCTATCTGAAGTTCCTGTTCTCTCCCTAACCATCTCTCACTGAATTAGTTCAAAGGTTTCTAAGGGATCTATTCTTGTTCTCTCCAAATCCCTATTAAAAGGGCTTCTTCCCCTTTTTATCTGAGCAACAATGCTTTCTTTCCTTCCCTACTCTATACACTTCTGTAACCAGCCCATTCCACCCCAAGTTCCCTTCTATTGGTTTTTCCTTTGTACCTCGGTGGTAGACTGCCCAAAGAAAAAAATTTAAAAAGGTCTGATGCTTTGATGACTACTAGCATTTTCTTCACAATTATACAGATAAGGGGTATAGGGATGAATGAGGGGTTCATGGAAGGGAAGTTGGGTGGGAGGGAAGCAAATCTTCATGGGTTCTAAATAAAGCATTAAGTGGAGATTTGAGTACTGACTTGCCCTAACCCTTAGGCTTTCTAAGCAAATGGAATCCATCCCCAGAACATTTGCATTGTACATTTACTTGCATTTACGACCACCCTGATTAGCCATTGTATAGTTTAACAGCCTTTTCTCCTGTTGCTTTTTTGTGACTGGGAGTTAAAACTGAGCTTGGGGTAAGCTTATAGGTAGACAAACTCCAACTATATTTTCATTAATCTGCTGAGGGTAAATTTTGGGCTTTAAATAGCTGGGCTGGGCCAAAGTACTGGGATATCCTAGTTCTTCTTGGAAGTGTTTGAAACCAGAGTAATTGTGGGGGGAGGTGTATTTAAGGGTAATATTTGCCACTATAAACTTTGCGGTTTGTTACTCGGTTCTGCTCTCCAGTCTGATGTTGCTCACCACCATATCCTTGGGTCCAGCAAACCTCAGGAATTTTTGATGAATTGATGTTAACATACATCTGTGGTCCTTATGTTCAAATTTTAAATCATCTGGAAAATGTTAGATTCTTGGATCCCACCTATAGATTAAGAGCCTAGGAGGCATAGTAGGTTACCTGTTTGGTAGCTAAACTGCAGCAGTTTGGATTCAGCTTAATATGAAGCTATCAGATTTTTTTTATTGTGGATACCTCATGGAGTTTGGGCTGTCCTACAGGGTCGTGATAATTGGAAATTGACAATCACCTAACTTTAGTTCCAAGTGTGAGATGCCTGCAGTGTTAGCAGGGAATGGAGTGTTTCATTTTTAAGTCACCAATAATGGGTAAACAGAATTGCTGCAAAACACAGTACTCAAGGTTGAATTAAATTACCATCAAGATAGATGTTTTGCAGGAAGTTACTTTGGATGGTACCCAATGTTTTTAAATAATGGACAGAAATTTCCACTGGTTGTTTTGAGAAAAATCTCAAGCATAGTAAAAAAATCACCACCTGTCATTTTAGGAGCAAGAGTTTAATTTTGAACACTAATTACATAATGCATTGTAAAACCAACCACTGAAAAATAGCCAACTGTCACTTTTTATCATCTGTATTTCAGTGGTATCACTGATCAAAGATTTACAACTACAGAATCCAATAAAGTTCAAGTACTTTTACATTATAGTCAGAACAAGAGGCAAACTATTAAAATGTCCCTTAGTAAGGGAGGTTATGAATTCCTTAGTGCAGTGGCTGTTGGCATTCTGCAAGTAATTTTCAGATAATAGCTAAAAACTTTAAAATCTCATAATACTTGGATGTGTAATGAACTGAATTTTAAGTATTTGCTTTGCATGACTCCCAACAATTTACTTCATGCTTAAATTGTCTGCCAATCAATATTGACAATGCAAAAGTACTCTCCCATCCCATTATCGGACATCCAACTTTTCAATACATTAGTAATTGTACGGATTCAAAGGAAGGTTTGTGAAAGGCACAATTTTAGTCAATATCCAACATGAGTATTTACATACTTTGAAGTTGAACTTCTCCTGGGACGCATTTATTCCACAGGGGTTAAATTCACTCAGGGGAAGGGCTCATTTAACAACTCCAGAATATATAACCCTCAGCAGTCGAACTCACCAACTGAAGATGCCCAGGGAATTGAACATTCAATATGTGGGGAGACCACTAGTAATCAAGTTGACTGATCACTCCAGTGCAAAGAATAGTTCGTTTTCAAATATATGACCTCTCCAAAGAATACAAACCACATCTTCCCAAGGTGCCTTTGGTTCTATTACTGCTACCCCCGCCCTTTCCCAGAGAAGTGTGCCTTATCTCGCAGCTCACTTCAGATCCTTACATTATATACAAGCGCCAAACTTTTATTTCTAAATTGGTAATAGCAAAACCATTAATTCTGAAGGTAGTACACAAAACTCTTAATAACTTAAGTAGTAAATTGAGACTCAGGTCATTATGCCAGAATACTCTTATCAAATCAAGGGCTCAATTATTTGAATTGGGAGGGAAAAAAAAAAAACCTTAGTAAGCTTTTCTTTACAAATGTTAACCCAATTCACAATTATTAATTATACAAGCAAAATGTTCCAACAAAATTTTACAACTTTCAATTATTCTTAGTTCAAATTGGGGCACACACCATATCTAGCATCATGGGAGTTTTTATTTGGAAGTGAACTTTTACTATTAATACAAATGCCAAGTTACTACACAAAAACATCCACAGGAACTTTTTTGAATTGCTCACAAACATTTCCTACATAATTCAACATACAACAGAAAAATGGTACATCTTCCAATTTGCATACAATGGAAAACAATATATATATTTTTACAAAGCTTAACTAACAGACACTAGCAAGTTGACAGTTTAAGTCTATAGGTGAAAAATTATCTAGTAAAAATAATCAGTATTTATTCAGCCATTAGTCACTTCCACAGCCCAGGATTATTCTGATTAATAAAACTCAGGATTATTCTGATTAATAAAACTTGCTGCCAAATCAGGCTTATGTATATATACTTTTACATCACTACTCAATTTGTAGTACCTGCTTCCCCATCTGGGTTCTTTGTCACTAACAGAATTGCTTTAAAGTAGGGCTAAGCATTTGCAATAAAGAAAACAAAAACCCCCAGGCTTTTTAAAAGCATGAATATGTGATGGAATTTCTTCCCCAAACAATGGATGTTCAAACCAAGTCACCAGCACTGAATTTGCCAAGATATTTTGCCTATGTCCAAGGAGATGCACTTATATCCAATCCAACAGAGGAGCTGAAAATCAAATTTAGTGTTTAGTTTGGAAGCGAGTTGGGGTGTTAAGCCATTTGAAAAATGACTCTTAAAAAAAAAATGACCACCAAAAATAGGTTCACTAAATTTATTTTAAAAATCATAAAACGTTTCTTACAAAAGAGCATTACATTGTGCACGCTGCTCTGAATTGAATGCCAGGGACATGGGAACTATTGTTATCATTACTTTTCCTCCCTGTTCCACCCCCCAAAGGTTACAGTGACCACAAAAGCAAGGTGTTCACAATCATTACATGGGGGTATTTGCTTTAAACCACCAACAATGAACAAAAAAAAAAAAATTAAATTCACTCACTCTGCTGCTGTTTCAAAATTTCAATGTTAGTTTTTGCATACCCTCCCCTCCCACCCTGGTAAGGAACTATAACATTACATCTGGTGAACAGCAAAGATTTCACTACACCTCAAATGCAGAACACCTATGAAGCAGAGGAATGTTGGCTTTTTAAACAGAAGCAGATAAAAAAAAAAAGATGCAGGACTCCTTCAGTTCTTCACTAGTCTTAGAAAAACTTTCCAGAATACTGCTTCACACTATAAAAAAGAAAAAATATCTTGCATTAGAATCCTTCAACATCTGCATACTGCTTCACACTATAAAAGAAAAGAAAAAAAAGTACGAATTAGAATTTTTGTTCGTAATACCTCAATCAACATTAAGACAATTTCAATGCTAAATCAAAACAAGCATGTCCATTATTTAGAATTAAAACATTAGCAATTATAAATAGTGCAAAATTTAAAGCAATTATAATAAAAGTTAAGACTTTAAAAACAGAAACAAGAAAATGAAACCAAAAGTTGTTAATATTTGATAGAAAAGACAGAAATGCGAGCAAGGTGTGAAATGCTGCATTTAACAGCACCAATCTATTTGTCCTGTAGAGACATGGCCTGTGCCATATGGCAGACTGTGATTTGTTGTCAATTTAGTTATCTAAAAACAACAAAATCACTAGTCTTCCACACAGAACTGACCAACATCCACTGAATCTTCTTTATTTTCTACAGGCTTTGTATAATTTTAACAAGTGGTTTTGGCAGCAGTTTTCACCAGAGAAATGGAGAAGTTTGCTTGGTTAGGGCTTCTTCCAGCAAGATTAGTATTGAATGTCTTCGTTTAGTAAGAAAGCAGAAGAAAATCAAGGCAAAGCTATTAGGATGTTTAAAAGTTAGCCCCACCCAACCAAAGGGTTGACACACCATGGCTTCTAAAAGAAAAATCACCTCAGAAGGAAAGCCTTTTAAGAGTTTAGTATTGGTTAAGTTATTATAAAATTAAACAAACTGACCTGTTCTGCAGCAAATACTGTGCATTCTGTATCTGGTCCTGTGTTCCTGTAATGGTAATGATCCGATCTTCAGACCCTTCTAAAGGCTCATCAATTTTGATTGAAGCTCCTGACTCATGACGAATTTGTTTAATCCGCTGACCACCTTTGCCAATAATAGATCCAGCCAACTGTTTAAAAAGTATAAAATTAAGTTTAGTGTTTTGATACATCAAAATTTTATGACTAGCACTTTTAAGACAAGGAATATTAAATTACTTCAAGTGGTTTTATTACCCAACACCCCAAGATTCAAGGCCTGGATAAAAATCTGTACTATGCCCATTAGGATTTCTGTAATGGTCTATTTAGTAACATAAAGTATCATCTATTAAGACTCAAACTCCAGAATGGACACCTCACTAAAAACCCTGTACACACAATCTCAATTTTAACACGGGATATACTTTTTAAAACTATCTTCTATGAAAAACCAGGGAATTTCAAAGAAATCGAATGGTTAATTCTCAGGAAAAGGTTAAAGATACTTACATCTTTGGGAATAGTTACTTGTGTAGTAATAATAGGTCCACCAAGATCACCATATGATCCACGACCCCCTGCATAGGAATAATCTGATTTAAATAATGAGCATCAAGTTCACTTAGAAAACATGAAATTATGTTTGATTTTAACAAAGGAGAAAACTTACCATATCCTGAGCCACCCTAAAAAAAGAAAGCAAAAAATAAATTAATTTGTTCTCAAATTTTCTCAACTATTCTAACATATTCACGAAACACCCCCAGGTCAACAAAACAATGCTCTTTCCAAGGCCTCCCAGATTTATTTATTCTAAGTTAGTTTGGAATACAACTCTTGGCAAAAAATATTCAGGAACATAAAATTTAAAGAAACAAAGCATGGAACAAAATACCGATTGACAAGCAGGCAGTATATATAGCTTAAGGTTATCTTTTAAAATTTTTTAAAACTGGTGTCTTAAATAACATATTACGACTGGAACATGCCAATACTCAACCTGTGGTTCGTAAGCCATCTGCCACTCTGATGGGCTCCAGGTATCTATTGCAGAATCCCAAGTTTCATCAGCACTGAAACCAACCTGTTAGACGAATAGTGCCATTTAATATACACTGTAATTATTTCAATTTTAGCTATAATTTAAAAAAACAAAGTTACATATTTCACCCCTATTAAAGACCACCAAACAAATGGTAGCAATTTAGTATTCTTTGGAGGGGGGGGGGGGGGAGAAGCACAACGACTTGTTATTATCTTCAACAAGATGTAACTATGCAGCTTTAAGATCCCTGACATCCCCTAAATAATAATTGTTGGTAAGTGAAAGCTCTTACCATGCCATCGTATCGGTCTCCAGGTCTCCCTCTTCGGTCATAAGCCATCAGATCCCTACAAACATAACACAAGCTGTAATCTCAGCTATCTATGCCACAAATACCAAATCAAGGTCTACCCACATGCTTAAATCATGAATTGTGTTGATGAAAAGAAAACTTACCCGCCTCTAGGTGGTGGTGGAGGAGGAAGAGGAAGATTCCGAGCCCGGCTACCACCGCGGCCACCTCGTCCAGGAGGAGGAGGAGGTGGTCCTCGACGAGGGCTCATATCATCATAATCTCTTCTAGATGGAGGCATGGGACGCCCACCTCGACCAGGAGGCATTCTGTCAAAACCACCTCTTCCCCGCATGGGGAACCCCACAGGCCGTCCACGGCGATCATCAAACATCATTGTAAAACCACCATAATCATAGGTTTCATCGTAAAAATTGGGATCATAAGGTTGTGCACGTCCTTTGATGGGTGACTAAAAGAAGAAATATAACAAAACTAAATGAAGAAAATAAAAAACAATTCTTTGTTCAAGAAACAAAACCTTTCGAGTGCTGTTTTTCCTAGGAATTATCAAGAGGTAAGGTAAGAATACTGGCAGAATAACCAGAAAATTGGGTGGTGGTGGTGGGGGACCACACATGCCCAAATATATTACTTTTACAGGTCCTGAACAAAGATGTGAGCTTTGTTGCTCAGGTGGAAAGTAGCTTAACTCCCCCCGCATTTTAACAGAAAGAGAACTATGCACACTATAGGGACCCTGAAGGCAGAGGTACTAAAGCAGCAGTATGTTTTGATTCCCCAATGGAGCAAAACATTTTTACTTGAAGCACTTCAAAATCACCCACTTGCCTTTTACATTCGAAACTATAGAGAATGAGATCAGTTTGTGTTCTATAGAGGCAAAAGTGTTCTAAAGATACCTCAGATATCAGATCAAGGATGATCTTTATGCACTCTACAACTCTATCAGGTTTCCCTCCAATAAGAACAACTCTGTCAGTAGAATGAGGACAGCATTCCTGGAAAAGCTTGATTGTTGTCTGAGTATTCTGCAATGAGTTAAAAAAAAAAAACTATCAGATAGCAGGGGGAAAATTAACAAAAACTTGTTATCTAGTACCGCCAACCCTTTTTACTACTTCAGTAGCAAATATGATAATGCCCAAATGGGAATGTTAGGGAAGTCAAGAGTCTTGGGGAAGCCCAGTGAACCCACTAGGTGGGGAAGGGGGAAAAGGGTGAAGTGTCCTGTACAAAATGAGGCAGGAGAAAACAAAAGGTGCCATTACCTCACGAAGCTCTTTGATTTTAGCACCTTTGACCCCAATAATTCCTCCTGCCAGACTCTGATGAATCAACAGTCTCAACTCGCAGTCAAAGTCGCTTCCTTTATAGTGTTGGTACTGCAGAGGGAGATTTATAAAACTTTAGCCCAAAATTAAGAATTCCCCAAGCACACTTATCTGCTATAAGCATAATATACTGTTGCAGTGAGCAACCTGAATTTATATTTCAATAACTTTACCAGTTATGTGCTTATTATCCTCAATAGCCAGGCCCAAAAGGGACATTCTGCACCACCTTAAAAAACTATTTTATTTTCAGGTCCTGCAACACCATACCCACACTGCAGCCATTTAGCATGTCGCTGTTACCACAAAATTATTATTAACATTCAAATAACACAATAAAAATGACTGCAAAGCACTTTGCGAATGTAGTTAATTCCCACTGCAGCATGGAGCAGGGTCAACAGTGAGTTGTAAGACCATCCATTTATTGTGTTTTAAGGTTTTTCTATAGAAATGGGAAAAGTACACTATGTTAAAAATAAAATTGATCCTATGGGCCAGGCTCCATACTTCAGTGGGGTTCATTGGCACTATGACATACATTTAAGCATTCCACAGCATCAGATTCGAGCGGGAGCTGGCTGGTTGCAGTGGGTGATGGCAACTGCAGGCCCTGAAAGTAGAAAAATAAGAGTAATAGGTTAAGTGTCTAGTGTGATCAGGCTATTGTCGCATATATTGGTAAAGCTACTATAACATTCAAAATCTATTATTATACAAACTAGTCTACAGTAGCATTAATAATTTTTACATATTTAGTAAGTTATCTAGCATTAAAAAACCATCTAATCTGAGCAAAACAATTCTATCCAACACACCCATTAATTTCATTTATTTCTAAAATAAAAAATTATCAAGACCAAAAGCCCCCTTTAAACACTCTTAATCTTTTAAAAGTAGCTATTTACCCCAAGTGATTAATGCAAAGGGACGCTGCACATTTTAAAGGTTTTGCCTAATGCCTCCCCCATTATAATTCAGTATGTTTAAAATCACTGCCCTATATACATACATATATATATATACAAAATTATAGCCTACCTCTTCTAAGGTAGGGATGATTTTCTTCAGAATTTCTCCAATTGTTTCAATATCAGCACTGATACTCAATATGCTGTCAAACATCAAATACCAGATAGTACAAAAAAGGTGGAAAAGAAAAATGAGTTGCTTGTTATCAGCAGCCATATAAATTTTTTACAGAGAAGTAACATACACTTAATATTCCCCATTTACAGTAGCCTATTTATAGATTTTTTTCTCACATGCATTTCGTTTTATGCCCAATACAAACATGGTAACAATATTAGGAGACTTGCAGAGACAGAGATTATGGGCTTTGGAAGGGCTCAGATTAAGTGGGCAATAAATTGACCAGAACCGAAGCAGAGTTGATATTTATGTTCCCCGCCACCACTAAATTTAAGAATACCCTCGCTATTACATTTGTATAACTGGCACACCTTCTCTTAGGCAAAGTGGGGGTGGGGTGGGGGTGAGAGGGGGAATATGCGAGTGGTGAACATTTTATCTGGAGTAAGGTTATGGATACCAGTTAGAAATTAGACCACTAATGGGCTCTGCAAGAAAACAAATACAAATGCAAGACAAAACAAAGACAACACAATGACAAGTGAAGGAAAGTGAACCAGAGTTAGCATTTCATCAGAAAAAATTATGAACAGGCAATGTTGGGAAGCAAGGTGGGCCACAAGACAGAGCGAGAGACTACTTTGGTAACAATTTGATTTACAATGCAGCAAATATGCAACACTTGAAGCTGTGCTCCTTCCATCGAAATAAAATTAGTGGACCGTTTGGGTGGGCAACTCACGGTAAAAGTTCAGTGACAAAAAGACTTAATGGGGAAAATAAGACAGAAACTTGAAAAACAATACACCGTCTAAAGGGGATACTATTTAATTATATAAAAGGCAGGTAATAAAATACATTTCTCTCTTTCTAATCAGGCAGTGAGGCATAAACTGTTGGGACATACCGCTCGGGGCCACTGCTGTCTGGGACTGAAACACTGGCATTGTACTGCATTGGTCATTGGCGTTCGTGGATGTTGGCATTGGGCATGGGCATTCAATCAGTAGTTGTCAAGTATGGTACCCGTTTGGCAACGAGCACATTTTTGGGCATAGCCAACCAGGGTTTTCACATGGGCGTTCAGGGGCGGATGGGCCAACGTCATGGTGGGCAACGCAGGGGTAAGTCGATCCAGTACATGGGCAACGGAGATATATGGCCAAAAAAACAAGGAGAGGGAAAAGGGGGAAAAGCAATAAATTTTAATTTAATACAAACTATACTCATACTCTCAATTAATGAAACAAGCTTAAGTTGTTCTGAAGACTAACACAATACTGGACTTCTCTGTATCTGACTGTGGCTTAACAATTAAGGACCTTAAAATGATGGTCTAGCTACCTTCTTTTAAAAACTTTTTTAAAAACAAGATGTTTCAGTAGCAGGCTGGCTCATGAGGGTAGACACAAACCTGTCAGACTCAAAGTGTACTGAAATTCTAGAGGAAATGGGGATATTAATAACCCAGATTACTATACAGAACATCTGGATTAAGAGGAGAGGTTTATAAAAGACAAAACAAAAAATCCCACACCACCAAAAAACTCTTAAGCACTCAAAGATTAGTTTGGTTTCCTAGAGGTTTAAAATGGACTCTTAGATCAACAGGCAGGTTTGTAAAATTCTAAACAAATTTTTAAGTTCAGTTTACAGCAATCAAGAGGAACATACAAAGATCTGCGACCAAGAGAGAAATGAAGTACTGTCAAATATGTATCCAACACAGTTATTATTTGCCTAAATTTTAGCAAGAACATTAAGAATGTGTACACCGTTTTTAGTAAATTTGACGTAGCCAGGTCCTATTAAATATACTAACATCGATGGATGCCAATATTAATGTGTCTCATCATAAGAGTCAACCCACGATAAAATATGAAGACTCAAACCACAGGCATTGAGACAGACTATTTCCCAACTTTAAGAGTATGTTCCTGAAAGTCTATTCGATATTTAAACCATGCAACCTCAATATTTCTTTGTGCTCCATGTGTAATTTCTCAAAGAACAGAGGGCTTTCTATCAGTCAAGTGCAATCGTTTTCAGCAACAGACTAAGTGACCCACACGTGGAAAATGCAGTTAACCTAAGGGGGTTTAACGGTTTGTTAACATTTTTAATTAAGGTCTTGCTTGAAGAGACTATTTGGTGGAATCCTATAAAGGAAGAGGAATTCCTATAAAGGAATTGTACACAACCTCTGTACAATTCAATTTGGGGATTGGCAAACAAAAAAAAGGGATTGGGGCGCCATATCTGGAAGTCAGCTATGTAATCAATTATTACAAATGGCTTGTATCTAGACTATTAAATGATTATGATTCAAATCTTTCAATCTCTAGAAACATGTAACAGAAGCTGCTTGCGTAGTAGTTTAAATGCTTTAATACTTACGTCTGTACGAAGAGCCTTAATATTCTTGCCTCCTTTTCCAATCACTGCCCCAGCATTCTGGAGGTGAAAACACAATTACTTTGTTTTTCTCTAAATTTAATATTTTTTTGTTCTTAGCTTTACATCCCACCTGAAATTTTAACCTTTCTATTACAGGAATTAAGAGATTTGGGGCTATCAAAACCATCAGGGCAAACCCAAGACACACACGAAAGCCAAAAACACTTTCTTGGTACGCAACCTTAACAACTGTATTCTTTACATCCACCTGCAATTCTGTAGTTCACCATTAATTAAACGAGTTTTAATATCTCAAATTCTAGCAAAGTAAAAACCAGGGCTTTACATCTGTCTTAAAGTTATACAAATCTTTATTTTTTTAAAATCTAGGGCTTCTCAAAGGACCAAATAAGAACCAATCTTAATTTGTTCTAGAGTCTACATTTCCAAATGATCAAGTTAAAAAAAAAAAAAAAAAGTATACCTTGCTCTGAAGCAGAATACGCAGCTCAACCATCTCATCAGTGTTCCTAGATCTTTTAAATGCTTGTTCCTCTTCCATATCTTCTGCTGGGCGTTTACCTATTAAGTCAACAGTTAAGATTTCCAATAAACAACCAATGTATTTAAGAAATGGCATCTAAGATTAATTTAGTTTTTAATTTTAAACTAAAGAAATTTAACTCTTGTTTGCCTTTTAGATACCAACTAAAGCGTCTACTAAATAATTTAGTTAACAAAGTACTGCAAACATGCAACTGACAGGTAATTCCAGGTTATGAAACTGAAAAGTTATGTTAAAACATAACAGGTATTAAACCACATAGTGAGAACAAGGAATAGAATGGAAATTTAAAAATCACTAATAAAGTCTCACCAAATTCACCATTGGTTTCAGTGTTGGGGAAGGTTTCTTCTGGCTGTTCAGTTTCCATTTTCCTTTATTAAATGGATAGAGCAATCTGTAAAAAACAAACAAAAAACAAAGCAGCTAGTACAGTTGGCTTATTGGAAGTAAAGTGGATGCATCTTGCTAAGGATCAAGGCAAGCAAATAAATGACAGATTCTAGAACGTACCAGTTATTATATATCCTTGCAGAGCAGAACTGAAGTGTTCTGGGCGGGACCAACAACTGACACCCTAGTGCTGCAGTAGCCTATAAAAACCAACACAAATCAGTTTTGCTTATCTTGGGTCCATTCTTGTAACAGAATACTAATTTTTAATCATAACAACACTGACCCGAGCCCTAACAACTAAATAGGCATTCCTAAAACTGGATTGCTCATCTTAGGACTGCAAACTCCAAAGGCTTGCCTTTAAAAACAAAGGTGGGGAGGGCGAGGGGAGAGTAAGCACTAGCTTTTAGCTATGAGAATGAGTTTCCACCACTGTAGCCAGTTGTTTCACCACAAAGTGTTATCAGTCTCATTTTGTTTCTTAGTAGGCAGCAACTAGATTGATGTTGGAATTTCATATCCACTTAGGCTTGATCTTAAAATTTCCAGAATCTTGGTAATTTAATAAATATAAGGGCAAACACAAGCCATACCCAATAACCAGGCCTATTCTCTTTTCAAAAATCTATTATGTAGTGAGAGTAGTCCTGCCCACTACTAATGGGACCTATCAGCCTCACTATCAAGACATTTTAAATTTGGTTCAAAGATAAATCCCATTAAGTACACATATGTAGAAAATGCTAAAGATTCTACAAGCAGGTTGGTGATGGGGTTCAATCCACCTTTTAGACGCGCTTTAGGAATACGAAGAAAAAGCCAAGTGGCTACACGTTGAGTCGAGAAAAAAACAAAAACACCCAAATCCAAGGAAGCATTTTCTGCGGTATTCTATTAACGTTGGTCTTTCGAGCAACTCTAACGACTAAAGACTATATTCTACTGGCTTATCAGTCTTTAAATGCCTGAGGTGTGGGGAAAGACATACGAGTACAGAAAAACAGCAGCACCAGGATGCTAGACTAACGTCGCGCCCCTGTTAATCCGCTATGTCTTCCCACCATCCTCCGATCCCCGAAAACAGACGAAGTACGGGCCTGAGCGAACACGCCCAGCCTCGCCCGGTTACCAGGATCGCCACGACGCCGAGTACCAGGAGTTGTAAAAGCGCTAGGCGATCGCCGAAGCGCCGCACCTCTCCTCACCCGGATCCGACGGGAAATGGCGGCCCGCGTAATGGCGCCTACGTGCTACGAGGCGGAGCTGAGCTCAGACCCCCCCTCCCCCACCCACCACGCGGCCCCGGGATCTCACCCCCCCATACCCCTCCCCCTCCACGGAGAGACAAAGCCTCCGCTGCGCCCGGGGCAGGCCGATACCCCGATTCCCGCCGCAGGCCGGGGAGGTGCCGGCGCGGCGGGGCCCACACAAAGAGCGACGCCGCAGTGTGAGGTAGCTGGCTGGCCACCTCGGGCTTGCGCCAGCGGGCTTATAACCTTAGCGAAAAAGGGGCCTGTTCCCCAAGACCACACAACGGCGTCTCACCCCGAAAGAACCTCTCTGGCAATCCTCCCCGAGTGTCTAGCACAAGGCCGACTGCAGAAATGCGCTGGGGGAAATGGCGGAGGTGGGTGGGGGAGGGGAAAGGCAGGCAACGTTTCCTCTCTGGGAAGCGGCCAACCACCGAGCGTCCTCTGGGACGGCCTCGTTCAAGCGCAAATACTCGCTTCCCATTCTCGCCTCACAGGCAGTCCTCCCGGCTCCGCTCCTTACCGCGCGAGGCCGTCGTCCCTTCGCCGCCGCGCCGCCTCAGCCGGTCACAGCAAGACAGAGAACGAGCGCAGGGCCTCACCGCTCCCCTCCTCCTCCCGCCTCAGCGCGCCTGCCCCGCTGCCCCTCTGGATTGGCTGCCCTGCCTCAGCCGTGGCGCGAGGCCGAAGAGATTGGCGCAAAGCCGCGTCAATCAAAGAGCAGGAGGAGGTAACGGCTCCGCCTCCCGCAGGCGCCTCCCTTCGGGCTGAGGCCGCTAAGGGCCCAGGAAAACTGGGCTAGGAAAAAGTAAACGCAATCTTTCCGAGGCCAGGCCCTTGCCTGAACACATTAATCCCCAAGCCCCGATAACTCCAATTACCTAGAGACCGCGAACAAACGGGACGCCGGCTAGACGTCGAGGTCGGTGCCGCAACGAAACAAGATAATGGCGTCGGCAGTGCTTTCGACTGGAGCGCCCTCCTCCTTTCTCGTTCGCGCACTCCACTAGAGGGAGGGTGGGGGAGTGGAGGAAGATCTCGCGAGATCTCAGGCCGACTGGTTCACGCGCCCTGGGAGGGAGCAGGGGCGGGGCATTTTCGAGGCCGGAATGCGTCTTCAGGGGTTGGGGGAGGGGCGTGAACGCGCGGGAAGTCGGGGCAAGTGGTAAAACGGAATAGACCTCACACTGTGGCGGTTTCTACTTTTAAGGTCCCGCGGCCCGGCGGCAGCTGTTGCGCGAGGGGAGGGCGGGCTACCCAAGTTGGTGCTAGGCCTAGACGAATGCCTGCATTTTCAGTCTTCCCTCAAGTCCTCCCTGGCTGACGCCCCTCTCCCCGCTGCCCCGGGCTGCCTAGCTGCGGGACCAGGTGCTCGTTGGTAAGTGCCGGCCCTCCGAGCCTCCAGCCGAGCGCGATCCACGCTAGGAAGCCCGCCGTTTTAACGGTCCGCGGCGTCTTTTCTGTGTGGCTGGGGCCCGAGGCCGCAGCTGCGGGTTCGCGTCCCTCGGGTCCCCAGCAAACACGGCTGGTCTGGACACGTTCTCTGGGGTTGGGGTCTTGTGGCGCCTGCAGCAGGCAGAACCAGGCGTTTTTACTGGGCTCCCTTCCTGTGATTCTTGTGGCCCTTGACGCGAGTGTCGTCGTGCCACTCCAGTTTAGTCAATCGTTTGATTTGCATTCGTCTCTTGAATACAAATCGTAAAAATCCTATTCGATATTCCGCTTTCCCTTTAATCTGTAAAGCAGATTCCTGAGGACCTAATGTCGGGGGTTTAAATGGAGAGAAAATGTTTTGAGAAACGATGTACAAATGCGCTTTACACAATTGATGTGTGTATGGATTGGGATAACAGTTGTATGAGCCCCTAATAAAATGTTAAAAAAGAAAAAAAAATGTGCTTGACACAATGTATGTATTTATGGATTGTGATAAGCATTGTATGAGCCCCCAATAAAATGATTTATAAAAAAAAAAAAGCAGATTCCACCGGAATCTGAACATAAAGCTCACCCTCAAGAGATCCTACAGTTGTAGCGTTTGCATTTCGTTTATACTTGCAAAATGTTGGTTACTTATAAGGCCCCGTGGCTGGAACCATGAGCTCAAAACAGTTATGAACATGGTGTAGTGTTTTATTCAAAGGGTCCCTGGGAGTCCCGACCAACTTGATGGCACCTAACAACACCACAAGGCCCTTGGGCCAGCCAAACTGATGTTTCTTTTGCTAAGGCATGTAGGCTACTCAATCATATAGGTCACTCAATCGGTAACAGACCCGGAAACTTTCCAGCCCACTTTTGTATACCCACTTAACATATTGTGAATGAGTGATACTCTTCGCAGTTTCCACAATCCCAAACTCTTGTTGGAGCAACCTCGTATTACAGTGTACACATGTATTCTACCAGCAGCAGAATATACTTAATTTTTTTGAATGACGAATTTGTGCCGATTCCAGTTGTCTCTTGATTTCCCTCTTGCTTAATTTGCAAATATTATAATGGCTATGATTATGTTCATTCATTTTTTTATCTGCTTGGATAAGAGACACATGTAGGGGAAATGAGTACTTCCTGAAACACCGTGTGCTAGCTGAGAGGATACGTTAACAAATGCTGTTAGAGCATAATGCTATAGAGGTGGAATTTATGAAAAGTGACTTAAAGTAATACAAAGCGTTTTATTGTCCCCACCATGACAGAATGTATAGTTTAGTTGGGGAGGTAAAATAAACGGTATAGTAAGTTTCGGTTTGGGTAGATTTTTGTTGAATATTTATTAAATAGAAGATGAAGGGGGGATGCTTTGACTAGAGAGATGTAATTTGCCAGTCAGGATTTACAACATTAATTTGCCAGTCAGGATTTACAACATTAAATTCAGTTTTAACACTGGGGACAATTCACTGCACTTCTGTAATAATGACACTTTCAAGTTAGTATTTCTGTTACAGCCATCTTTTTTTTCTCTATTGATAAATAAACAGTGCTGAGTGCTGAGCAGAGATCAAAAGCAAGCAGTTCAATTGATGTAGGAACCTTTTCTCATTTCACTGCCTCCTGTCTGGACCCTGACTTGACTCAGCCCTGATGAAAGCTGTTCCTTAGCTTCTTTGTATGCTTTTTTTTTTCTTTGTATGCTTTTGTAGGTGGAGTTTTTCCTTCAAACCACTCCCCAATTGCTTTCTGCCTTACCTCTTTAGTCTTATTTTTCTCTTTAGGTTTCTGTTTTAAATCAGGATTTTCCCTTCTTGTCTTTTCTATATTGTCAGACTTAAGGCTAGTATTGCTTGGCTATGGGGTTTACTTTAGATAGACCAACTGAGATTGTGCACAAGCCACCTGTATTATTATTTATCACTACTTACTGAGTTCCCCATTATGTACCAGTTTCTGCTTTCCTACAGTATAAGGATTGTTATAAATATTCTGCCATGTAAATCTTTTGCTATTTCTGATTTTCTTAAAATTAATTCTGGAAGGTGAAAGAAGTGAATCATGAAAATTGCTTAATGTACAATTAAAACAGTTTTTCTTCTCTTCATGGACAATGCAATTCTTGAGTACCCAATATTGTTTTTGTATATTAGAAAATAAGAAGTTTTGCTCTGATAAAACTCCTGTGTGCCTTCTACCTATAGTGACTGTGGTTACCAGCTTCTCCAGAAAGAGGATAAAAATCTTAGGAATTCTCTAATGGCCTAGATTGTAGGTTTCTAAATTTATTTGGCCTATAGCTCCTTTTTCAGAAGAAAAATTACACAACAACCCCTGGCAATTGAAAAATTTAGGGCTGTAGCTCATAATCCAGGATGAAGTGTCAATTTCTAATTTTGCAAGTCCCCTTTCCCCCATCATTCTCCTAGCGGGTAGTATCACCCACTTTGCGAAACACAGGATTAAGTGAAAGGAGTAGCAATTACCTAATGGTTCAAGGTCTCCATTATTGGAACCCGGTCTAAACATTTATAATACAGGTCTCAATGCTTTCTTCCATTTAATTAAACATTTTTAAAACCTTTTCTTTCTAACCTGTAGGGGAAACCTCCCTATTGACATAAAATAATCTTTTTTAGGATTATGAATTAATGGGAGGGGTTTTCACTTCAGACTATCAACTCTGCACTCAACAGTTCAATTCATCTTTTTAATTACAATTATTACCAACATGCCTTTGTAAAGGCTGTCCATGTCCTAGATGAGTCACATCGTCTGCATCACTTTACTTGACTCTTAAAGTGGAGAATTTTGTGTAACAGCATTCTTGACTTTTTCTTAAAATGTTTGAGATTAACTCTTTGAATGCTTGTATAATATTAAATGTCTCTCACCACATTTGCTTGTGTTTTCAAACTGTCTTGGCTATTTTTAAACCGCTCTAGTAATTAGAGTTTTTTTCCCTGTATAGTTGTGATAACACACCATTATAATATGTTAGCTAGCTATAGAAATGCAGATTCAGGAAAGTCTTAGTGTATACTTCTGCACTGACAGGAATATAAAATTAAATATCTCTGAAATTCATCCTTAATCATTTTCTGCCCTGCTTTAACCTTGTCAATTCACAACCAATCGATCTTTTTTCTTTTCTTACTGGTTTCCTCCTTCTCCTGAAGTCTCAATGGTATCATTTCCTACTATATAAACGTTTTAGGTAGCAGAAAGCTATTGCATTATATATAATAACTTAGGTGGTTTTTAGGACGAAACATTCTGCAAACAAATTAATTGTGGCATGTTTGCTTGGTAATTCAGGTAAACAATCATTGGGTCCATTTTCTAGCACTTGGTGTTTAAATTCTAATGGAGGCAAGT